AGGAAGCCTGGACATATGAAAAATCAGTGCCCTAATTTAAGAATTCTTCCAGCAAAAGAAAAGGGTAAGGCGAAGCAAAATTTAAACTGGGAAAATAATGAAAGGAAAAAAATCTCATGGGCAGATCTGGTTTCTGAAGCATCGGACCAGGAGAGAGATAATGGTTAAAAACCTTTCGTGTTTTTGTGTTGTGTTTTTGTTTTTATGTTTTTCATTTTTGTTTTGTATTTTTATTTTGTTTATTCTTTAAAATTTTTATTTTCGTGAAATTTTTTCTCTGATCAATACACACATTCACTTTTCTAAAAATAAAAAATCAACTTCCTATTTTTTCTTGAAATCTTTGGTAAGTTGTGTTTGACTTCTCTAAAACAGTCAAAGGAAGGAAACTCATATTTTTTACTCTCATTTTCTATTTCCTAAAAGAGGTTATTCTACTTTTGATTTAAAATCTTTTTCATCTTTTAAATTATTCTTCGAAACTAAGTTTTTTTAATCTCTCTACATTTTATTTATCGCATAGGGATCTTTTACAAGTTGTTGAATCTAACTCATAATTTTCTTAATCAAAAATTCGCTTTATCAATATGATGGGTTTACTTTTATTTTTAAGACTTCAAAAAGGTAGCATATTAAAAAAAAAATTGGCCAATGATGCCAAAAATAAAAGATGCGCAATGACGCCAAATTGAAAAATATACACAAAAGTGTATAAAAAATCAAAAGATACGCAATGCACCAACCAATTGTCAAGAGGCATAAAATGAGCCCACAAAACTTAATGCTTACCATTCTTGTACTTCTTAAAAGCTTAAGAAAATCCTTGATACTTTCGATACTTGAGTTTGAAAATCTTGATTCTTGATTCAACAATTTGTGCATTGATCTTCTATTAGATATATTTTATTGAAGGAGTTTTTAAAAAATGATTGTTTCTATCTCTAATTTATTTCATGATTTAGATATTGAATTAAAAAGTTTTTAAGCCTTTTTAAAGAATTTGAGTTTGGATTATCAAAATATGAATTTCTAATATTTTCTGGGCTATGCGTTGTCAATCCAATTGTACTAAGTTTTTGATTTAAACCAAGAGGTAAATTTCTCATTTTAAGAATATTTTTTTTCACTAGATCAGGGAACATTTTTTTTCTTTTGTTCGTTTTGATTTTTGTTTATACCTCCTCTCTTTTTGATAATGTCATAGGGGGAGAACGTATTGTTGAATTTTTATACTACTATCGTATTTGCCTTTGTACTGTTGAATTTTTGTACTGTTATAGTATTTGTCTTTGTACTGTTAAAATTAAAAACAAAAAAAATATTTTTATCTCCCCTATTTTTTAAAAGTGTTATTCTAGTGAGGGGGAGATTAAGAATTTACTTTTTTGAAAATTCAAATTGAAATGTTTTTATTGACCTCATTATTTGAGGTCAATTTCCCCGAATTAATTTCTAGTACAAAGGTTTTCGTAGCCTAGAATAGACGTTACCCATAAAATCTCCCTTAGGTGGACACCTAATGACATAGCATGGACTCAGCATTCTAATTCAACAATATCTAAACTTGATCAAAATCAAATCATCTCGACGTCAAGCCCAATCCATTCGATTTGAGTTCAATTTCATATAAACATCTTTAATTATATCCAAAATAAAATTCATCTTAAATCTTTTTAAAATCAATTCAAATGATTTTTTTATTCAATACATAGATCCTATCTATCAATTCAAATCGAGAAAGCAATAATTTCATTTAGACTAAATTAAGAATAAAATCAGTTCAAAGAATTTTTTTTAACATTATTTTAAACTAAATAAAATAAGAGTTAGGGCCGGTCCAGCCTACATCCCAGAACTGCCCACGATCCCCCTCTCCTAATTCGCGAATCAACCCGCCCCCTCACGCCTGCAGTTCGCGAATTTCTCCTCTCTCTCACAGAGCAGTTCGCATAACTTCCTCCTCCCCTGCAGTTCGAAAACCACCTAGCAGTTCGCACTCCCTACAGGTCCCGTCACCCTGCGAAAAAACTTACAAAGATTGGTCATAGTATAACAAAAAATAGAAAAGCCAATGACAGGTACAAAACAACACCCCAAAAACCGCCTACCCTTGGTTCGGCAAAGGCCCTACATCTTCGACAGCGTGAAGAACCGTGGCACTCCTCAGACAGGAATTTATATTTATCCAGTGAACGTACGCTCCTCTACGTTCGGATCTAGGCAAAAAAAGCGCAATACCGAGTACCGAGTACCGAGTTGTACCGAGTTTTTTAAAAAAACTCGGTATTGCGCTGTTTTGATCTAAAACAGAACGTAGAGGAGGTACGTTCACTTCAGTGTATGTAATAAAAGTTCCCTCAGCAGTTCCGAACTGCTCTCTCATACACACGCACAGAAGCCTCCATCTCCCTCTCTGGTTGGCGTGAAAAGACCCAGGCGAAACTCCCATTCACAAGGAACTCCAAATCCCGAAGCCTCCAGCCCCATTTTCGCACAAATTGTTCCCTCCCTGGATCGCGTGGGAAGGCCGAACGAAAACTCTCTCTCGGTTTGTTCTCTCCCAAGCCCAGGAAAGCCGAATGAAGCCCCCATCCTCCTCCCTTCCGTTCGTCTCACCAAGGAGAAATCGTCGCCAGCCCTAACCGATCGAGCCTTCTTCCCTTTCGACCTGCTCTCTCGCCGATTTACCCTAGCGACCGGCTCTCTTGCACTAGGTATATTTTCCCTTACATCTTCTCCTCCCCTTCAACTTTCAAAATCAAGCATTGAGTGTTTGAGTATTGATCTTCTTGATCAAAATCTGAGATGTTTTGTCTATTTAGCCTCATTGATATTCAACTTTTTTTGGGTTTTTTCTAAGAATCTTGATAGCAAATTGATAACGACTTTTGTCTTTAATTGGAAAAAGAATAGATTCGTTAATAGAAATCCATATTGGAAAGTCTTTTAAACTATCATATGAGTATGAAGTTGTATAACTTTTTCTTTCTTGTCTCAGAAATTTATTTGACTTAAGTTTTAAGTTAGCATGAATGAGTGAAACAAATATTTTCTTTGTTACAGTTTACCTTCAAGTTGAAATATAAGAAGTTTTCTTTATGAGTAAATAGAGATTTGCTAGATTTTTTTTTTTATATTGTTTTGTATGATGTTTTGGGAAAGGAAATGGTATAATTTTTTGTTTTACATTCATGAATATAAAAAAAGAGAGAAGCAAGTAATTGTTGAAAGAAAGGTGTATGTTTTTTTTAAAAGGTGATTTGCTCGTATTTTGGAAAGTGGGAAAAGTGTCTTTGAAAAGTAAAAATGTCTATCTTTTGGGAAGTTTTAGAAAATAAAAATGTATTTTTGTATCAGAAAATGAAATGTGTAAAATTGAAGTTAAATTTGGATTTGTATGTGTGAAAAGGTGAGAATTGTATTTATTTTGGAAAAGTGGAAGTGTATACTAGAAGAGTATTGTGTAAGATAAGTAGAAGTAAAGTATTTGATTTTGTGGTAAGTGTATATTTTCGAAATTGGAATTGTATGTGTTTTGTAAATAGAAAAGTGTGTGATCTTGAAAGATGAATATTGTGTGTATTTTGGAAAGGTAGAATTGTGTTTGTAAGAAGTGAAGTGTGTGCGTGTATATTTGGAAAATGAGATATTTTTATACATTTTGGAGAGGTGAAAAGTATATATATATTGTGGGTAAGTAAAAGTGTGCTTTTGTGAGAAGTGAAAAGTGAAAAATGTCGACATGAATAAGAGAAGTATATTGAGTAGTATATCAAGAGGTGAAATTTGTGTATTTTTGAGAAGTTAAGTAAATATGGAAAAGTATAGTGTGATAGTGTTGGGAAGAAGAAATAGATGAATCTTGTAGTGTGTATTTGTGTTGGAAAGTATATGAAGTATATATATATTGAAGAGAAAATATATAAACTTTGGAAGATGAAATGTATGCGTATTGAAAACTATTTTGTGTGTAAAGGTGTAGTGAAAGCAAATTTTGTAAATGTGAAGAAGTGAAGTGTATAAATATGAGGGGTAAAGTGTTTGCTTATGAAAATTGTGGAAGTTTGGAAAAGTGTAAGTAAACATTGGAAAAGTATACAATAAGAGTTCAAAAGTAGAATGTTCAAAGGCAAGCAACAAATTCGGTGTTCAAGCCCGAAGAAAGGTACGTTTTTATTTTCAGTAAATTTCAATTATTTTATTATTAATTATTAAATGCGCTTTCTAATTCCTCTTTTACCTGTTTTCTTTTCTTTATTGGCATGAACTACGAGGAGCGGTACCAGTCGAGGGAATAAAAGGACAAAGAGCTAATGACATCAGTCGCCTCTATCCAGCCGGGTAGAGGTGCTACGGGCGGAACCACCGGGTCGTAGCCCCCGGTGATTGTGAGTATTCTAAACTTAGAAAACCTTTAGGGAACCCCTTGATGTGGTTTGCACAAAACCTTCCCTTTTAGGTCCTTGTAGTAACTTCAATTTATTAGATTTATTTTTATTTTTTTATTGTAGATCCCTAAACCCTATTTCTACGTACGAAAAGTCCTAAGGGTTAGTAATAACAAAGATTTTCACCTATAAAACAGTAGTGACATTTAAGGACAATAATTAAAGACCGAGTCTTAGAAAATCTAGACTTATGATGCATATACACTTTAGGATAGAAATATATAACATAGAAAATTTAGTGACACCTCACTTTAGGAGTAGTGAATTTTTTTAATTAAAATTTAATCAATTAGAAAATTTTAGCCAATAATTGACCTAGGACATATCAAAACCTCACAGCTTATCATACACACCTAGATTTGTTTGTTAGGACAACCGACTCTAGTTTTAGGTTAGGCCGGTGTTTATTTTATTACTGCTATGTGACGGGCTTTTTCTCTGTTTTCACTGCATGCTGATTGTAAAACTGTTGGTGTGTTTGTTTATTTACTTTTACTACACTTTATGATGTGATTTGGTTGACGATTAGATTATTCGTAGGTTAGGAGCGAACTGGTTGTTAATAAATTTTTTTGCAGGTGGCCACACTCGTGTAGGACAGTAAAGGGGGCTAATTAATTAATAATTATATAAATGCTACAGGTGCTCCAGTTGCTTAGCCCCCAAATAAAAAGAGTGTGGCCAAGTGTGGCTGAGTGATTTAATTTAAATGCTTATGTATAACTGCTTGGGATGATTTTTGCTTAGGATAACCCTACAGGTGGTCTAGATTTTTTTTTTCTTTCTGTGATGTAAATGTGAATGTAAATGTAATGTATTAAAAGTCAAGATATATGAAAGTGATTTTGAAAGTGGGATATCGCATCCAATTTGGAATCCAAAGAAAACAGAATATACCTTAAAGGATTATTCTCTTTTATTTGGAAAGCCAAATTAGGATGATTTAATTATCCAAATAGAAAAGAAAATACCCCTCTTTAGGGAAGAGTTTCTTTTCATTTGGATATCCAGACCTGACGAATCCAAGGAGTTCATAGAAGAATAAAGGATGATAAGAAGAAATAGAAGAAAAAACAAAGAACAGTATATCCCAGTTCAAAATTTCACTTGTGTCATTCTTAGGATTAGAATCCGAGTTTGTTGTCAGTGGTGCTCGGCCACTTTACTTTTCTGCAAATTCTGGGTGTAATATGGATATTGGATATTATAATTTTGGATTATTTAATTTGTTTGTTTACATTGTTTGTGCAGTAGCTTTTTTTTAGGGCCCTTGCATATAGTGTTTTGTTTTAGCTCTGGATTCGAATCGGAGAGATTTTTTTTCGTAAGGGTACGCTCAAAATTCTTTTACTTGAAATTCTAATAAAATTTTTAGGCTTACATAGTAACTCTAACGATATAAGAAGTAAGCTCGGGACCGCCGAGAGTCAGCATAAGCATATTAATACTTTCTCTTCCTTGTTAGGCACCTCCCCGCCTGCGGGTTCTGGCAGACCACTTGACCTATGAGGGTGCAGTTCTATCAAGGGGAAGTTGTGCAATCTCTAGGGAAAAACCTATTTTCTAAGCCTAATTTTTAAACTGCTTCATATTCATTTTATGCATTCGAGTCAATTAGCATGCATTGCATTTGATACAAATTAAAAAGAGTCTAAAATATTAATTGCATTTTTAGGCATAACTCACCCTACATAAGTTGAGGGCTAATTAGGAACTGTCTTAGATGTCGGCCCCCAATTCCTTAAAACTTAAGCAACGTCCCTACTTATCTTTCATAAAAGACTTGAAACATGGTTTTAAAGCGCCTAGGTGGTTAGCTGGCTCCCCAATCCAGGCCGGGATAAGTCCAGATTTGCACTTCATTAGTTAGGTTCGGGTCACTATTTTATAGTACCCAAATTAGATTTAGGTTCTGAGGCAGATTCTTTTTAGATCTTAAGTCCTCACCCTCCGGGAATATAAATCTCAAATTTCTAATAAAATGTCAACTTAAATATAAAATTTTCTCCTAAAATGTAAAGCCCAACCTAGGATAGATTGAGGTTGTCTCTGGGCTTCTCAGAATCCGACACCTACTACTTTTCATCCTTTGACTCGCTAATAAATGTTCAACATTGAGCTTTCACCTTGGAAAATTCCTACTTCTGTTCCTTGTCTTTTACTTTGTAGTCAAAGGGTATGAAATCACTACTTTAATCGAGAGTTTTCTTAGGAACATTCCTCCTAGGATGTAATTAACTATAGGAGCTTGCTCCTATAGGGATTTGAGAACCCCAGACTAAAATAAACCTTGTTTTATTCATATAAAATAAGGGAAGAATCTTTGGAAATGCAGATATCTTTAAAAACTTTATTTCTAATCTTAAATATATTTGTAGGATGTTATTATTGTCTTTTTTGATAATATAATTTTCTACTTGATATATTCAATGGTAGAAATGATGAATTTTATAAAACTCATTCTTACTTTTGTATGTTTTGAAGAATTATATGTTCATCTTTCGAGATGATATAATATTCTCCTTGCTATATCTAAATGAAAGAATGAATAAATTTTTCAAAAAAAAAATTATTTCTATTTTTAAACACATTCTTAATAATTTCATGTTTATTTTTTGAAATAATATGTCATTCTTTGAATTGTGTTTGATTATAGAAATATCAATTTTTAAAACCATATTTTGATATTGAATCCATTATAGAATATATGTCAGTCTCCCAAGATTGTATTTTATTCTTAAATGCAGTATTCGATTACAAAATAGGAGAATTCAAAATCTGCGTAGTGACACAATTTTTCCCACCAGTTTTGCCATCATCAAAAAGGGGGAGATTATTGCGGATCTATGGTTTATAATTTCGATGATAGCAAACATTCTTATTTCTCTACGATTACCTTATGTACTGACATTTCAGGTTCACACGATCGGACTGCAATTTGAAACCAGCTCAATATTGAATAGACTAGGTCTGAGTCAATTTGTACACTTTTTCCTTTCTTGAGTCTATTGTATTTAGTGTGGCTCCTGATGTTTTGTAGCTTGGAAGATTTTTCTACTGTTCCCTAGAGTTTACTATTTTTGGTAATATCGTCTGGGATGATATTTATATCGGCCTGGACGATCTGTCTAAAAGCAGAAACCCTAATTAGGGCATCCTCATTAAAGCAGCAATCTTTATGCAAAACACATCGTCCTGGATGATTTTGTATCGGCCAAGATGATAGGCTCAATTCAGAAAGAATCTGCTGCCATATCTACTTAGGAAATACTTATTTTTGGACATCGGCTCAGTGGATTGGCCTGGCCTATCCAGATCGGCCTGATCCAGAGCAATTTTTCTTAAATAAATCTAGCAATTAAGGAAAGCAATTAATGGTGATTTCTTCCGGGCCGATTGCAAGATCGTTTGGGCCGATTAGACATCAGCCAGCTTCATTTTAGGGCGATATTCAGGACGATTTTTCTCATATTTGAACTAATCGACCAGGACGATATGTCTATCATCCTGGATGATAAAGTCGGTAACTTGTATTAATGAACTCATTTTTATCTCTTCTATTTAAGCTATGACAAGGCACTTTGTAAGTTTCTTTGGCAGCCATTGTAGCTTCGTTCTTGTGGGGAAAACTTGAAGAGAAAGCTTGAAAGGGAGTGAGGAACGGGTGAAGTCTAAGAGAGGGAGAAGATCCTGTGAGGGGGACTCAAGGGAGTGTGGAGGGGGATTCCACACGGTTGCTCCGGCAGGCTTGCACTTTCATATCGTCGGATTCAATGCTTGTCTCGAGGGAAGTTCACCAAAGAAGAAGATCTCTTTGGTGTCAAAGGACCCGGCGACTCCGCCGCACCGGGCAAGGTGGAAGTGATTTTGTAAGGGCTTCTCCGCCTAGATGTGGGGGCTAAAAGAGAGACACTTGTGTTAGTACAATACTTGGAGGGTGCCTCCAAGGAGTGGACGTAGGTCAAGGTTTGACCGAACCACTATAAATCCGGAGTGTTATTTTCTTATCATTGCTTCCACATTTAAATTTCTGCATCTTTGGTTTTGATTGTGGTGAATCTTGTTTTTGGATTTAAGATTGTGTTTGTTTTAAATACTGATTCTCCTATCTATATCTTTTTTAGTCTTGGGCCAGTTCATAAGGGCTTAACATCCCTAACGAACTTTCACCTTCCTTACATTTATTTTCTCCTCCACTTTCTTCTTGCTAGGAGTGATTTTAAGATTAGGGCAGTGCAATTTGATATGTTCAAGTTTTCTGCATTCATAGTAAATAACATCGTTAGAAATCTTAAAATTTTTATGGAACTTACTTTTATTCCACTGTTGGTGTCTTCTTTGCTTCCTTTTTAGAAAACTTTTGAATTATCTTATCATCAAGGCAATATCATCCTCATCCTCAGACTGTGACTGATAGCTCACCAAGTCATTCACTTTCAATGCTATATTCTTCTCCTTTCGCTTCTCACCTACATCAATCTGCTTTTGAATCACTTATTACTTGTAAGCAATTAGTGATTCAGGAAGATTGTCAATACAATATACATTTAAATCTTTAGACTCTATAATAGCATTTATTTTAGCATCATAAGTAGGAGGAATACAACGAAAAATTTTATTAACTTTTTTTGTATTCATTAGTTCCCTATCTAAAACATGCAAAGAAGTTACTATTTGAGTAAAACATATATACATGTCAGATATATATTCATTTAGTTTTATACAAAATAGTTCATAATCATGTAACAAAATATTTAATTTAGATTTTTTAATTTCGTTAGTTCCTTCATATGTGATATAAAGTATATCCCAAATTTCTTTTCTACTTTTACAAGTAGAAATATATATGTAGTCTTCTAATTTAATAGCATAGAAAAAACTTTCAAATATTTTTTATTTAATTATGCTAAGTCTCATTCTTCTACAGTCCAGTCAGTAAAGGGTGTTTCAAATCTAATGCCATCTATAATTCTTGTCGACCTAGTGTACCCATCTTGAACTAAAATCCTTATGCCATCTATAATTCTTGTCAGCCTAGTGTACCCATCTTGAACTAAAATCCATATGCGATAGTCAAGTGATTGACGAAAAATAGACATTCGTATATTTCAAAACTCAAAAGGAATGTTATCAAATAGTGGGGGTCTAGTGATCGAATATATTTCGGGTGTGTTACAATTTCATAAATTAGCCGTAATCATTTTTCAAAAAGCAATCTAAACTTTAAATTTTAAAGTAAGCTCTGATAGCGCTTGAAAAGTTCATATAGGTTGTTAGACTTATGTAATTATCCCAAGGCTTACCAAGAGGAAGGGGTGAATTGGTTATTTAAAAAATCTTGATAAATTTTAGGAAAATCATTTAATAATTTTCACAATTTGATTTTCTTTAAAATAAAATTTTCAACCACAACAATAAATTGCCAAAAATAAAATATGGAAATATAAAAAGAACATAATAATTTATAGTGGTTCGGTCCAACAAGACCTACGTCCACCCCTTGAAGACTCCTTCTTCAGGTATTGCACTATTACCAAAGTGACTCTCCTTTTGCCTCTACTACAAGGCGGAGAAGCCTTTATAATTTTCCTCTCTTCCACCAATACCCGATGCGGCAGAGTACCGTCATACTTTCACATCCTCTAAGTGTCGGTATGGTACCGTCGTTCTTTCACACCCTCCAAGTGACGGTAGAGTACCTTCATCTTTTCATATCCTCAAAATGTTGACAGAGTACCATCGTCCTTTCACATCCTCCAAGTGTCGGTAGAGTACCATCATCTTTTCATACCCTCTAAGTGTAGGCAGAGAATCAGATCTTCTCTAAAAATCTGCTCTCGAGCAACTAGAAAAAAAAAGTAAGAGAATTGACACAAAATAAAAGAGATTCTCACCTTTGAGTAACCTTATAAATCCTTCATACTTCATTTGCAAGAACTCTCTCTAAAAAAACTCTTCCAAAACACCCTTTCTCTTGCTCTCTAAGAAATCATGAAGACCAGATACGTCCAAGTTAGTTTCTAAAGACTTTTTATCTGAATGACATCAAAAACCATCCATAAAATAGAAATTTTTAATTTCAGCGTCCACGATCATACAGTACGATCGACAATCATCCTGGACGAACAATACAAATTCTTCTCATACAATACTATACAAAATATTTTCGTACAAGTATATTGATATGTTTATCATACAGTACGAATAGTTATAAAAAAGTTTCTATGCATCCTGACGAAACGATATTCGATAATTTCGTAATCCAGATGTCATATGTACGAACTTGATATTGTTCTGGATGAATAGTTCAAAAAATTTACCTATTCGTATGGATCAAAATTTTCCCAATATTTTTGTACTCTGGACATTATATGTATGAACTTCAGATTGTCCCGGACGAATAGCTCGAAAAATTTACCTGTTGTTATAGGCAAAAATGTTCACATCATTTTAGTACTTCGCACGTTGTTTGTACGAATCCAACTTCGTATTGTACGAACATTATTAGAAAATTTTTTCGTCCATGCTTTGATTAACTTCTTGCTAGAGGAAATAACTAAACAAATTATTATGTACGAATTAAAATCGTATATTACGATTAGTTTAAAAATTTAAGACACTCCCCCAGTGTCTGTGTGTGTGTACGATTACTCAATTACAATCACACTCTCTCAGGCTTAATAAAAATGTAAAAATACAGACTCCAATTATAATGAATTCTAAAAAATATGACTTGAAGTCTTCAACAATCTGGATTATGTTTTTCTTGAAATATTAGTACACACAAACAATAAAAGTAATATAACCAATATATGTTAAGAGAAACAGTAATAAAAAATAATAATATTTGGAATCATAAAAAATACACATGATATGAAAGCTAAGTTGCAACAATCTCCCCTTTTCTGATGATGACAAAATAATGATATGCTAGAGCGTGAAGAAGCAATCAACAGTTACCAGATCGACCACTGAAGTAGAATACAGGGCCTTAACTGCAACTCCTTCAGACATTGTTTGGCTTCGAAGAGTACTTCAACACTTCAACATTCAATCTTCAAATCCCACAACTCTTCATTGTGACAATATTTCAGCAATGTCTCTAGCCAACAATCCGGTATTTCATGCTCGAACGAAGCATATAGAGATTGATTATCAGTTCATTCGGGATAGGATCAAGCTCAAAGAAATTGTAGTCCATCACATAAACACCAATGATCAGATTGTTGATATTCTCACAAAAGCTCTCTCGCCAACACAGTTCCATCATCTGCAAAACAAATTGACTCTCCTCACTGTGGATCCTCAATTTGAGGGGAGCTGATAAGCCGCTAAACCTGATACGTGGACCACCTCTTCCACGTTCGGCTACCACGTTCTCAACCAACAGCAACCAACCGCAAGCACTCTCTCTGCTACAACAATCTCAGCTTTCAGTCTTCAACTGAATCATCTTAGTCATTAAATCTCTGTTATGTTGTACTAACTTTAGTTATATATACATAATTCAATCTACTGTAAACGTTGAGAGATTAGCAATACATTTCTACAGTCTCTGTGTTCTTCTTCTGCATTTTCTCTGCTACTATTTCTATTTTGGTTTCTCTTCAGGGAAGACATGAAGTATATTTCTGTTAGAATAATAATTATAATGGATAATTTTGGAGTTTGTGAGTCATTATAGGTCTTGGTAATTTATAGTTATTAGTGTTTATTAGATAGTTAATAGGTATTTAATGACAGTCTTATTATTCTATAAATACCCCTTAAGAAGTAGTAGGGAAAGCAAAATGAATGAATGAAATGAGATATGCCTCTATCTCTGAGTTTTGTGCTACTTTCTTCCCCCATCCAGATCTTGCGGCTATTGTCATCCTCAAATTTGTTGTTTATCATGATCATTCGAATCAATTTCATGTCTTTATCTTAATAATACATGCAGCATCTAATTTACTGTAATAATACATTGATTCCTATCTATATATTTGCTTTGCCCAATTCCCACCATAAAAATTCATCGAGACAATGCAGCTGATAGAGCATCGCTACGGAACGAAGGATTTTGTGACGTGCAAAGACACGAGCTTGCTCCTCCTGGTACGTTCTACCTCAAGCATGTTTTTTTTTACCTCAAGCATGTTGCAGATTCCATGTACCAAAGATTTTATGCCAAGAAGGGTGCAGCCGGAAAAGTTGCTGTTGTTTCCTTGCCAATGGCCACTAAAACTAGATGTTTCGATGTAAATAAGGAAGAATTCAAAGTATGCATATAATTCTCCCCAATTATATCAGATTAATTAAACTGGATTTGTCTCATTGAAATACGTATCTCTAAAAAATTATTGGAATCAATGTACAAATGACTTGTAATATATATATATATATTAAATTTGTTTGCTTTCGTCGTAGACTTCTCTGAGCACTTTTTAATATGTTAGAAAAAAAAAAAACAAAGGTCAGTCATTTTTTTGTCATTTTTCTGGTCTCAGTAGGCAAAAACCTTTACATTCCTATCGAAGGGCCTTCACTACCTCTCCGAAGGGTTGTTCGGCCACCAAAGTCGGTGCTGGTGGGCTGACTATGGCTTTCAAAGGCCTAGCCTTGGTTTACCTCCAGCTAGCTGCTGGCCTATTGATCTTGAAAAAAAAAATGATATTCCAATCAAAATTTAACTAGATTAATTGTAAAATGCACATAATTATTTATATATTACATTAATTTAAAACAAATCTAAAATTTAAATTTTGTGGTGAAATTTCTCTCTGGCTATCTAACGAAAATTATATTGCAATATTTTGATCACAATTTTGGTTTCGTTTGCGATAGTTTTCTTATTGTTTTATAAATTGATTTTTTTTAATAAATTTTTTAACATAAATTTTTTGTATAAAAAACTATTTGTAGAAGCAGTAAGAAAGTCGTCTCAAACGAAGTCTTAGGTTTCGTCTGAGATGATTTATTTTTTTATTTTTAAAGCTACTATCTAGTAAAAAAATTTTAATTTTTAAATTAAAAAATTATTTTAAAAAGCAATAAAAAAGTCATCCCAAAAGAAGCCTTAATCTAAGCTCTAATATCTATTTGGGGACAGTTTTGGGTTCCCAGTTCTTTTCTTATTCCTTTACGGATCTATAACGTGTTTATGGGTTTGATGGGTATAACGTGTGTTAGAGCACTCTAGTGGTTACCACTCAACCATTTGAGACCTTATTAAGACTTGACGGTTTGGTAATCTTAATGGGTTATTTTGGTCATAGGTTTATCTGGTTTAGACAACTGTCTTGAACAAAATTTAAAGCCACCTATCTTGGTTGATCCAAAATACTAGGTTCTTATTTTTGAGCGGTGTCGGGTAATTAAGGGTCCTCTATCCTTGTATTGATAATTGTATGTAACCCTTTTTTAGATCCTTGCTGACTTGATTTTTCCTTAATCTTTATGTTGGTACTCTTTTAAGGACTGGCTACCACATTTTAAGGTTCAATGGAGTTTTTTTTTTTTTCAGCTGAGTTATTGTCCCCTTTTTTTATTATTCTTTTCAACCTTAGCCTATCAGACTCACATTGAGCTATTTCTGTTTTACTAAAGTCCTATTAAATGCCTTGATTAATTCATATTCCCTTTGCATGTTATGGAGTAGGGAACTACTAGATTTTTCGACTTACGAGTGTAATATTTGTTGTACTAAAAAATTTTGCAGTGATTATGGGTTTAATATAGTAGATTTATTTAAAAATTCAATATATATTTATGAAATTTATGAGAGACATTAGAGATTGAAGAATATGAGATTATACACTTAATAATAATAATTTGATTTTCATTGTAATGTTTATAGAAGTGAAGTAGCTACAAGCATATAGTTGAAGTCCAATTATAAAGTTGGATGCTAGTACTATGGCGACAATACTCACGTGGCATATTGCAAACAATGACATTGTTGGGAAATACAGTAGAGTTCTTACTCTTTGTAGCTCCTGAACATCTCCCTCGAGAAAATGAAACTTTATTTATATCCTTTTTATGAGTGGTATTTTAGAAAATTTAGGAAGAATCTCAAACACTCTATTTAATGGCCCATGGTGATACTCTTAATTATAGAATTTTTATCCAACATTTGAGTATTATAATGATGCCAAAATCAAATGATCTTGTCTCATTGGGTTTATCTCATCAAGTTGCTTGATTAGATTATAACTGCACAAGATTTAATTTAGAGGCCATTTAATCCTTAAGTAAATATCACAAAGTTTTCAATCTATTTCAAGTGTTGATTTGAGCTCATTCAAAGCCGGATCGGATTACTTGTAGTGTCGATAGATTCGTCTCATCGAGGCGTTTAGTTTGACTCTTAGCTTATTGAAATCGGAGTACAAATGATCTTTTGCTATTATTTGATATTATTTGATGGGATTCTAAATTTAAGAGAGATGTGGTCTCAAAAGAAAAGAACTTTGCCATATTATCGTTCTCAAGTTTTTGCAATTGATAATGATGATAAAATAAACTTTTCCCATATAACCTCTATAGGCTTGAACTCACAAGTTGTCTTAGTGTTGGATTGCTCTTAGGATTATTGCTCGTACGCATTATGATAAATTTCAATTGAAAAAAAATTCATATTCATAGAGAAATATAGAACCTTGGCCTCATTTAAATAGTCTAATTAGCTATATATATATATATATATATATGTTATAATGATCTGCTTGTCTAGTTCTTTAGTCAGTTGATTGTTCTCTTTCCTGGCAAGAGAACAATCACTTCGACTATCTTCCTGAGTATGATGTTTAGCCTCAGTTAAGAATCTATCAATAGATTCAATACGATCAAAAATGTGATTGTTCCAGAAATCTAAACATTTGAGAAGTGAAATAATTAAGAATTAATTTGCATTTTTTGTGTTATTCTGTTTAGGGGAAAAAAGGCTTAAAAGTTTGGAAAACTAGTCATTTTTTCAAAGGTGCTATTTACCTAATATATACATTTTTATTAGCTCCTTTAGATTGTGATAGTGTTTTATTACTTTTTAATCTGAAATTTTTTTGAAATAAAAATTTTATACTAAAAAATTATTTTGAAAAACAATAAAAAAGTTGTTCCAAATGAAAGCAAAGTAGAAAAATCAATTTAAAAATAAGCAAATAGATTAAAAATTGCTCTAAGAATAACATAAAATTGGGACAGCTTTTAGCCCCTACTTTGTCCTTTCTTTCAAAAAAAAATTTGTTCTATAAAATATCTTTAAAAAGCAATAAGAAAGCGGTACCAAATGAAGCTTTAGTATGAGGAAATAAAAGTAAGGGATATATGTTGGATTCAAATAGATTTGGGGATGAGATTTGATCTTACTATCTTAAAATCCCAAGAGAAGATTTTGAGAAATTAGAGTGAGTATGAAAAGAATAAAGAGGATTTTGAGAATTTAGAATAGACTAAAGAAACTTTTGAAAATTTTCTAATAGATCGGTAATGCTTCAAATGATCAAAAATGTGTCACTTCACCTTTTATTTATAGGCATCCAATGGCTATAAGAAATGTTACATAAAAAAAGGAAAAATTACATCATTAATCTGCACATGGCATCATATGTCATAGTTTGTTAGGACGTTGTGTTGCTCTTTGTATTCCGCTCAGTCTTCAATTTTAAGCAGGTACTGATGAGTGTTTGATGATGATAAAATAAAGCGAGTCATAAGCAGGTGCTGATGAGTCTATAGATACAAGATGGGCCAGTTTACCCACTTTATTTTGGTTTTATTTGACGTGTTCAATACTAAAAATTCTATAATGAGATATACGTCCACCACAAAATTTTAATGTGTTTATATCAAAGTTTTGAAAATCGAATCAGATCGGCCGGTTGGACTGATTCAACCGGGAACCGACCACAAGACTGAAACCGTCCAGTTTGAAAACCGCTTCTACATCGAACCAGTCATAATCATCGGTTCAACTGGCGAACCGGTAAACCGGCTGGTTCAATTACCATAAATTTTAAATAAATAAATAAATAAATTTATTATATTAAAGATTAAATATTAAATAATTTTCTTAAATAAATAAATATTTAATTTAAATTATAATAACTTTTTCTCATAAATATTTGACTCAAACCATTATGAATCATCTTCATATGTTCCCACCACTCCTTGTGAGCTCTTAACACAAGGAAACTAAAAAAAACTATATAAACAATAGCAAGAAAGAGTTTCCAAGTGGTGTGAGTTTAGGGGTGTAACCGAGTCAAGCCGCCTCGTGAGCCGGATCAGACTCGACTTGGTAACAAGCTCGACGAGTCTAGCTTATCGACCTTGTGAGTCAAGCTCGAACATGATTTCGAGCTTGAAGGTTTATCTAGCTCGAGCTCGAACAGGCCTTCGGCTCGACTTATAAGCTCATCAGCAGCTCGCGGAGGTGATTAGGTGGGAAAAGAAAATCTTGGCTGCTGCGGGCAGAAGGACAAATCGATGGTCAGACAGGAAGACAAAAATGATGGAGCATGCATATCTCGACGGTGGTGCTTGGGATGACGACGGATCTCGACGGCAAACACAATGAGGAGCTCGAGATGTCGAATCTCAATAGTAGAGCTTGGGATGGCGATGGATGAGTTTGAGATGATGGATCTCGACGACAGATGCGATAAAGAGCTCAGGATGATGACGAACCTTGAGACGACAACGGATGTGACGACGAGCCTACTCAGGACGGAGCTCAACAGTGGAGCTCGGGACTGAGCTTGACGAGCCGCTCGACATGAAGATGAGTCGAGCTCGATCTCAGATTTTGATTTCAAGCTTGAAAATGATATTTGGTAGTTGAGCTCGACTCGAACACCCCTTGACTCGAGCTCGACTCAACTCGTTTGCACCCTATGTGGGACTAAAAGAAGAGTTGATGTGTGTACGAGCTCATAACATATAAGATGTCTATAAAACTTATTTTTTAGCAAAGTTTTTAATAATTTTTTATAATGTGAATAATACTTATTTATTAGTTAATAATAAAAAATTATTTAATTATACACTGTAAAAAATAATTTTGTATTTTTCGTTTAATTTTTTATCTTATATTTGGAATGATAATATTATTATTATATTAATTTTAGTATATTTCAATAATAATATTATTTTTTACGTCATTTGGTTCGACCCTAGTTCGACTTGTCAAATCGGTCGAACCGTGAATCTCTCATTATTCTGATAAGTTGTCCGGTCCGATTTTCACAACTGTGATTTACATATCTATTTCCTAAATCTTTTTATTCACTTATATAATATTATAGTATTTAAATCACATCGAAGTTTATACT